TGTATATGCATAAAAAATATTCGACGAATACGATTTAAAAGTAAAATTATGTATCTTTTTATTTATTGTTGAAATTTCTATACTATCCCTTCTGTTTGATTTTATTTGTCTAATATTTTAAATGTATATTTATTTATTACTTTTATAATATCAAGAAAAGAAAAGATAAATATTTTATCTTATATAAAACGTCAAGTCAGATTAAAAATGTGAAAAAAAAAGTTTATCGAGTACTTAAAAAGAAAGAGTTGATAAGATAAGACATTAAACGCATTCACCAAATGCGATTTATGTGTAAAATTTTGTGTCTTCTTATTTTTTATCGAAATGATTATGTTAACCCTTCCGCTTAATTTTATTTCTTCACTTATTTTAAAAATATTATTTATCTTATTTATTACTTCTATATTATGAAGAAAGGATAAATATTTTATCTTTAAAAAAAATGTCATATCGTTGAAAACTTGAAAAAACGTTTTTCAAGTACCTAAATAAAAGAGACGAATAGATTAGGCATAAAACACATTCACCAAATGTGATTTATGAGCAAAATTTTGTGTCATCTCATTTGATGTTGAAATCACTACATTACTCATTCCGTTTAATTTTATTTGTCAACTATTTTAAAAACATATGTATTTGTTTCATTTATTACTTTCATAATATCAAGAAAAAATAAATATTTTATCTTTTAAGAAAAAGTCATGTAATTGAAAACTTGAAAAATGTTTCATACCTAAATAGAAAGAGATAAGAAAATAAGGCATAAAACGAATTCATCAAATGAGATTTATGAGTAAAATTTTTAGTCTTTTTATTTATTATCGAAATTACTGTAGCACTCCCTCCGTTTAATTTTATTGTTCACTATTTTAAATATATTTATTATTTCGTTTATTACTTTTATAAAATATAATTATTTTATCTTTACAAAAAAATAGCATGTCATTAAAATTGTGAAAAATGCTTCTTTGATAATGAATGCCTAAATAGAAAGAGTTGATAAAATAAGGCATAGAATACGTGCACCAAATGCGACTTATGAGTAAAATATCTTGTCATCTTATTTATTGTTGAAGTTACTAAATTGTCCCTTGTGTTTAATATTATTTGTCCATAATTTTAAAATATATTTATTTATTTCATTTATTACTTTCATAATATCAAGAAAAGATAAATATTTTATCTTTTAAGAAAATTTTATCTCGGTGAAAACTTGAAAAAACGCTTCTTATACATATAAATAAAAAGAGATGAGAAAATAAGACATAAAACGCACTCATTAAATGTGATTTGTGTGTAAACTTTTCTGTTGTCTCATTTATTGTTGAAATTACTATATTACCCCTTCCGTTTAATTTCATATGTCACCTATTTTAAAAATTTATTTATTTATTTTATTTATAACTTGTATAATATCAATATATATATATATATATATATATATATATATATATATATATATAT